TGAGCACCCGTTGTTCAATACCTACCTGTTGTCGGGAACCGGAATCAGAGTCGTTGGGTCTAAGAGATTTAGAAATAATTGGGCTCCCATTATTCGAGGTCAGGGCCAGAGCAGGCCGACGGCGTGAACGATCCGATCTCTGAGAATTCAGATGTGACCTACCAACATCATGATGTCTTTCAGTCTCGTCCAGGTTGTTGTCACCTTCTTCATTCCCTATTCGACATATGCAGGGCGAACAGACAAAACCTGAAGAAGCAGAGTGCAGAAGCCTCGAACCCTCCGAATGCTGGTGACATTTCTGCTCCAAATGGCTGACACGAGGGCGCTTTCCTTCTGTAGTCGAACGATGAGCTGGGGACAAATGGCGTGAGCGCTTTGTGTGGTAGGTCGCTTTTGGAAAGTCAGATCCGTTGTTATGGTGCTGGCAAAGATTAGAAGAGCGATTGTGATTTGCATCACGGGAAGACAAACAGCGATTATTCTGATGGTAAGAAGATGTACGATTTCGTTCAGGCATTTGCTGTGAAGTGGATGCGACCATACTGAAGTGGCGCGAAGTCAAGGAGTTTGGAGCATTCAGATCTGAAGGAGTCTGAAGATTAGCTGGGTTTGATGCGGGGTTAATTTCCTCACTATCAATTTCCATTGGCTCGCCCTCGGGAAGCTCCAATTTATCGATAAGTTGACAACCAACGTCCTGATCTTCCTGGCCGACAGCTGCTGAAGAACAATCTAGGCCTAATGTTGACTGAACCCCTTCAAGCTGAGGGGTTGTTGAAATGTCAGCAAGGAGACTGTAGATGTCTTGAAGGAGTTCAGTATCATCATCATCAGTATGCTCATTGTTTTCAATAGTCAAATCTACCAAATGACGTGAAGTTTGCGATTTTGATACTATGGAATTGACAGGCTCCAGGCGAGAGCAACTTTGCTGGGATCTGTGGCGACGAGATAGAAGTCGGCGCTTAGGCATGGAGGGAAGAGAAGAAGCAGATGAAGAACAAGATGAGGAATAGACAGAAGATGTAGATGAGTAGTAGGATATGGGGAGAATATGAGATGAAATTGCATTAGAGTTAGTTAAAACGGATTTTCGCGTCACGTCATCCCCAACTGCATGGTCGGCCTGTTCTTCTTCACTAGTATCTGTGGTATTGATTTCTCCGTTTGAATCCGAGCTGATAACTACAAAGGCATCCGAAGACTGCTGGGAAATAAGCTGAGAATGACGTCGTTTCTGGGCTAATGCCGAATCTGTGGAGGAACGTAGCTGTGAAGTTGAAGTTCCTAAACCAACGCGAGGTGAAAGAATGAGAGGTGTCGAAGGTGGGGCTAAGGTGTCAGATAAAGTAGAAAGAGGTGTTTGGGACAATTCGACAGACGAGTTACCGCCACAAGGGGATTCGGGATCGCCGATGTCCCAGACGAAGCGGGAAGCCAGGGAAGCCGTGGAAGGTTCAGAAGCTGAACTCGACATGACCTGAGGAAAAACGTTTAGTAGACCAGTGGATTCTGAATCATTTCCTGCTGAAGAAAGGCAAAGGAAAGGTGTTCCAAATGGGGGCGTAAATAAACTAGAAGAATTAGGGACGGTTGTAGTCGGGCTGCTACTGATACTAGTGTCGCCAAGAGGCGAAGAGAGCAGAGAGATAGACGCAAATGGAGCCGATGGAGATGCTCGGCGTCGCGAGCCCCTCGTTTCTCCGATCGTAGAGATGACAGTGTTGCCAATGCTGTTGCTATGATTGTTTTCAATCCCCTGTCTGCCAGTGGTAGTTGTGGTGACAGTGGAAGTAGAAGTAGGTGAAGGGGGAACGACGGAAATAGCAGGATTTTGACTAGGTAAAGAAGTTGGTATGCTTGTACGTATAACCCATTCGAATCCATCGATGGGTGGATTTATAGAAGCCTCTAGTGAACCTTGAGCATTTGAAATAGGGAAAACAGAGGATTGAGGGCGAAATATCAAAGCTTGCAGAATCTGTCCCTCCAATTCTTCATTGTTTCGAAGAGAACCATCAAAATCACGGAAGCGTAGTAAGCCACCTGCAGTTGTAGAAATAGAATGTTCACTATTATTACCAGTTAGCTCGACAGAAGTAGCAGTAGATGTAGATGAGGAAGAAAAAAGAGGAGCTGTGGTGGCTTCTTGTCTAGAAGCGGGCAAAATCGGTGGAAAAAGCATATTGTCGAGATCTCTGGGAGGATTAAAAAAGTATGCGGAGGTGAGGACCTGAGAGGCGAGCTGAACCAGTCCCTCAAGGCGAGACAAAGCAGCGGGATGAGTGGCGAGAACAGAAGCAAAGTGGCGCGAGATGGACGGGCCTAGACATCGGTTCCGTTGTCCTTGAGATGTTCTTCCTTCCTCATTTCCAAGAATCTCTAGGTCTCCAGACTCCACAGCTCCGTCTCGTTCCACTTCATCAGTAATAATGACTTGTGCATCGCGAATATTATTTATCGTCTCTCCTAATCCTGTGTTATATACTTCACTATGATAATCGTTTTCTCCTATAAGAGTATCCTCATCAGCATCTTCTTCATCATCGTCATCGTCGTAAGAAACAATTGAGACATCGGTTGGGGCGCGAGTAGTAAGATCAAGTGGTCGTCTAGCAGATC